GCTATTGTGTTTTCGCAAAATGTTCGATGGGACGTCTCTACTGGGAACGTTTTTGTTTTTCCCACAATTAGAAGTTGCCAGTATTAAACACATTGGTGTTATCAAATTTAAATCAAAACATATTATTAATAAATGGGTGAAAATGGCTTGGGTCCATAATGGGCAGCATTAATATATATACCCACCTGACAGCTCATTGTTACTTTATAATTCTACTCCACTACAATACAGAGGTTAGCCTGGTATTTTTACTCCACTACATTTATTTGAGTTACTTTGCAGATTCTGATTAATGATGTGAAATATAAACAACCCTTAAATCAGACTTTAGTTACACCAAGTGCCAACAATCAGGAGAGATGATTATCAAGTGCCAACAATTAGGAGAGATATTTGATAGTTGGTGCTTGAGAAGACTAAACATTTATCTGTAGATCTCTATAAAGTATATTCATTACTTGTTATTCTCTACTAATAGTTGATTAAAGACTGTATATAATTGCTCTTTTGCACATCCCTTTCAAGATTTCAAGATTTTCAAAGGTTTATTGACATATCATATACACAACTAAGTTGAAGTTATGCAATGAATTAAAAACTTGGGTCGCAGGTTCCTCAACAGTGCATTACAAGACATCTATCAATATGTGGGTATACCTCCACCATTAAACTGTCATATTCTGCACATGTCTTATTCTATCTACATACATATAAGTATAATTCATATGTATAATATCAGTTAAAATAAGTGCTTCAACATTTTCACATTTCCAAATTGCAGGAAAGCAATATATTAGACGTTAAGTACTTTGTCAGGCTTAGTATTTATCGGTAGATACCCCCAAAGCTTTATTCTTATTTAAAAAAGACCTTAACCTAAAGTATTCTTTAATGTTTAAATAAAGGTTAATTAGTTTGTCTGTTTTTTGCACCTCCTCATATTAATATCTTTGTACATCCGGCACTGAACTGTTTTATTGTAGAGATCACTACAGTATCTTCTTGATATTTTATATTCTATATTTCTATCATTGACCTTCTACTTCTCCCCTATTTTGTATGTACTCTTAATATTTTTTTCATCAAATATAACATATTAAAACAATTATTCAATAACGTGCTTTAACCACTAGGCGGTGTACACACAGTATACAATTCCATAATAACTTTGTATTATTACTGTAGGACACTTATGTATAACATCTGAAGATGTGTAGTTTTATTCATGTTTTCACATAATTCTACAGGATATTGCTATACTATTTCACATGTTTTACTTCTACACATTAATATCTGATTGGTAAAACATCACAGACAGAAAGGTATATCTGTAATTTAATGGTAAGCAATTGCAATTCTGATTCCATAGATGTGTCTCCCATCACCCAAAACCCCTGACTATTCTCTCAACTCAGTATTTACATTCTTATATTCAAAGAAAATCAGTAATATCTTTAAAAACTACAAGTCCTTTTCTATCAGCTGTGCAGCGTTATGGTGTAAATACAGCCTATCTACCAATTGGATCAAATATAAAATTCAGCCGAATTAATGTTGATACTGCAAGGAGACGTATTGTGTGAAAAGAAATTGAAGATGTTGTTTAATTGCTGATATATTTATGATCCACGTCACATATTCAGTTTCGGTGGTAGTTCTTCCAGTTTGTCCAAAGGTCTTCTCATCAGGGCTCTATAAATAAAGAACTACGGCAGATGTGTAATATTTAATACAGCCGAACCGTGTATTACAATGCCGTTATGTGATGACCTCCAAAGAGAAAAGCAAGAAAACTCGGAATAAAGTATTATTTTTTAATTGTTTTCGGATTTCACATCGCATAAACACAGGCTTCCCAACGTGCATTGCAACTAAAACATCCAATCAGCGAACATGAAAACATTCCCAGTTAAACATGCAAAAACAAATCGTTAAATAAAAAGATAAAACACTGGCATGTAATTTACGAATGTGGAAAAATCTGACTGGTTTAAAGTGGCCCTTTAAGTCACATCACTATGTAACACTTGCACTTCTGTTGGCAGGGGCTCCAACACATTGTACGTGATAGGCTAAGGGGCGGGACATCTCTAAGTGGTTGACCAATCACAACGAAGCCGGACAGCTAACCAATCAGAGCAGACTGGGCTCTGGTTTCAGACAGAGGGTGAAAAGAGGTGATGCAGCACAGGCAGTGTGAGAAAAATAAAGAGCTTTTTGAACATTAAAGCATAGAGACATGTCATGTCACAGTGGAGACACTAAATATTATTTTGAAACCTGAAAATAAGCAGAACAGGGCCTCTTTAACTGAACGACTGAACGCCCAAACTTTCCCGTAAATGAATTAGTTTCAGCAACCCCCTATTGTTCAAGTCAAGGATTAATGTTATTGGATCAGTTTCAGGTGACGTAGGCAGACATTGTCTAAGAGAGAAAACTCTTGGATCTGTTCCCAGGTCAGCAGGAACGCTGTGCGCACACAGATTTAACACGACATGCAAACAACACGCCAGAGGAGACAGAAATAAATAGGGCAGTTTATAACAATGGCATGACATGATTTCTGTGAAATTATATCCCAGAGTGTTATATCTTCCTTATTCTACGATTCCTATCTTTTACTGCCACTCATTAATACATCTGATTCCACCTTTTAGAGATTTGATTCTGCTGATATAAGAGCAAATATGTAGACCATGTTTGCATTGAAAACATGCTTTTGTCCCTACAATGTCTGACCTATATGCTGACTTGACACTTGGCATACTTAAGTTTGGCTCTAGAAAGGTGTTTTACAATTCTGCTGATGCTTGAAATAAAGCCAATTGCATTAATGTGATTTTGCTGCACAACAGACTCCTAATCGAGTGGAAGTTAAGAGGCTGAATCTCTGCTGTTTTCTTTAATGAATCAAAAGTTAGCGTTTGGCGGGGCAATCCACAATGTCTCATTGTTAAGCTAGAAATAAAGAGAAATGCTTTTGGAGTTTTTCCTTTTTAGGCGGGAATTCCATGTTTAAAAAAAAGCTGGTTCAACATTGCTACGTTTTTTCTTTTTTCTTTAATAGGCCTACATTAAAACATGCTTGGAGGTGTAATGAACCCAAAGCATACTTCTGTTGGTGGAAGTAAAACAATTTTTTAGCAAAAGTTTGTGTTGCTGTGCCCTTGTTTCCAGATTAATGCAAGTCACTGCTTAATGATTGGGGTGGTGGGCGGGTAGTAATAACTCATAATGACTAATAAGTGTGGAAGCTAAACAGTGCTGAGCCCATTGTATAAGCCTGCGTCGCAGTAGAGGAGCTTCTGTTGGCATGGGATAGGGATAATCCATTTAGGCAAAGCTTCGCCACGAATGAGTCAGTTAACACTTCCTCTCTCAGTCTGGATGAGCTCCCCAGAGTGAGACAGGATCCACATTTGATCAGATCCCCCTGGTTGTCCTCCGCCTCAGATCCTGTGGGTTACATATTGATCTACCTCACTCCATCAGGGAATTCGGATACCTGCTGTCACTGAGGGTGGAGGCGAGGGCCTGCTGGGTTACGGGCCGAGCCTGAAAGATGATGGAATGGTTGAAAAAATGTCTGAAAGCAATTGTTTCAGCTAAAGTCAGGGAGTATGTGAAGGACTACTGCAAGAGGAATGGCCTTCTGACCCTCTCTGTGTTCGCCGTAGTGACGGGCTGCGTGCTTGGATTTGTCCTCAGGACGTATAACCTGTCCACACAGGTATGGATAAATAGATAAATAGAAATTAGGCGGTGGATCTCTCTGACTGACATTGCATATCATTACCTTGGTATAATATGGTGCGATGGTTGTATCACTCAACATTCAGGGTGTGAAGCAACAGTCTGCTCGGCTCACTTATCTTTTGAAAGCATGTTATGTAAGAGAGTGAGTGAAAGCAGATAGACGCAGAACAGCAGGTATAACAGGGAAGGTGTTGAAGAATTGCATATAGTTAAAGATGCAATAATAAATAGATTTAGATCAACATTGGTTCGCCTGAGCACTGAGTATTTGTGAAGTGTTGCAATATTTGTAGCTGTTTTTATCTTGGAGGTTTCTAAAATATACTGCACACCACCTGCTCAGCACCAGACTGGAAACAAAAGAGTTTTTTAAAGGAACTATAGCTAATAAACAAACCAGAACATTTAACAGCTAAATTGATAGCTGTTAAATGTTAACAGCTATCTGGTTAACTGGTTGGTGGTGGAGACCAAAACAGAGCTAAAAGAGAGTTCATATTGGACTTGAATTCATCATGTAGTGATCAAAACTAATTAATCAATAACTGTTTGATGTGTAAATGGGGAGCAAATTGCTAACAGCAATAGTTGGAATGCTGATACAGCATTCCAACTATCTGTTATGCTACGCACGAAATTCTTTATTATTCCGCTGGGTTATTTTGCGCCTCTTCTTCTCCCACATTCCACATCGCAGAAACTCCGTTCAAACATCAAAACATTCAGCACGGTCGGGAATCGATGGCTATTACTTTTCTCATTCTCATTCATAACCTTAATAATTCCAGAGATGCATCCCATAATTCATCAAATGTTTAACATGGAAGCCAATGGAGAAACTCTTCAGACTTGAAAAATCTTCATGCGACTTCAACTGCTAACTGCTCCTTCATACTTTCACTCAGAAACCTCATGCCAACTTCAACATGTTACACATCTTTCTGACATTATTCGTGTTAAACAACTTTTAAATCTGATTCATACTTGTAGAAATATTAAACATTGTTCAGACCTTGGTAAAGAGGCCTTCTTCAGATTTTAGAGTGTGTGATGTCACAGCTAGAGTGGAGGACAGATTTAATTGTGTCTTCATATTTTCTTTTAAACCTGCCATAATTCCCAAACCCTACATTCCTGAGACATAATCTTTCATGAGAAACGTAGGAAAACATGTCGTAGCTTGACAAATTCAAAAAGATTAAGCAAAATAATTAAACAAAATGCCTCTTGAGGGCATGAAGTGGAAACCTTTGATCTCTGGACACGTCGTTAGCTCCAATATAAACACCTGTGTCATGGAACACGATGATGTCATAACTCCAGCTGACATGCTCAGAGCAGCAGACTTCAGATAATGGTTAATGGTCCGGCCCTCAACAGCTCTACGTCAATTATGGGATGTCATCATATGCCGTTTCCATGGAAACGCATCCCTCGCCATGAAACATGATGTCGCTATGTAACTCCAATGGACACTGTCCGATCGTCCCCAAACTTCGCTTGTATATCACTGGTCCATGCCTCAACAGCTCTACGCCAAATCTGAGATCTCACTATAGGCTGTTTCCATGGAAACGCATCCCTCGCCAAAAAACATGATTTTGTCGTAACTGATATAAAAATGGTCAAAACAACACCAGACTTCAGATGACAGTTAATGGTGGTGCAATAAAACACGATATTGCTATAACTCCTATGAAAATTGTAAAAAAGTGCTAAAACTTCACGTGTGCTAAAAGTCCAGCCGAGAAGACATCTACGGGACAGTTTTGAGATTTCTTCAAATGCCGTTGCCATGGCAACACAATGCTCGCCATGAAACATGGTTTTCTCATAACTTCAGTGAAAATGCTCCAAACAGCCCAAAACTTCCCAGGTTTGGTAACGATT